TCAGATGGGCTGTTTAGCGAATTTCACGGCTTTCCCTAAAGATAACAACGCGCTAGTCGCTTTAGGCGCGTATTTTAATAACATTACCTTCCTAAACTCAGGTGCACATTTATGTGACCCAAATCCAAATCTCAACGAAGTCAAAATGTGTCAACAACCATGGGTGCATTTATGTGACGTGGTTCGAGGCACATTTTCACGACGTTGCAATTCTCGTTAAAATAATAATAAAAGCGGTTTACGGTTAAAAAGCACATAAGCCAAAACATGTTTTGAAATCAGATAAATAAGCCAAATATGACAGTTGAGCGACCGTGCTAGAACCACGGAACCCGGGAATGCCTAACACCTTCTCCCGGGTTAACAAAATTCCTTACTTGGATTTCTGGTTCACGGACTGTTAACAGAGTCATAATTTCCTTGGTTTGGGATTCAACCGGTGACTTGGGACACCATTAATCTCCCAAGTGGCGACTCTGAATCTTCATAATAAATCCCGTTCTGATTGTCCTTTAAGTGGAAAAACTCCCTTATATACACCCTTGCGGGTGTAGCAAAAAGGAGGTATGACAAGCGTTTCATCCTCAGACGGACAGTTAGTCCGAGCGGACTATTCATATTTTGGAGGATATGCTCCGGGCTTGTGTTATCGACTTTAGAGGTTTGTGGGACCAGTTTTTGCCTTTAGCAGAGTTCGCCTACAACAACAGCTACCGGTCCAGCATTCAGATGGCTCCATATGAGGCGTTGTATGGTAGGCGATGTCGGTCTCCAGTGGGATGGTTTGAGCCGGGAGAGGCTCGGTTATTGGGTACAGATTTAGTTCAGGAGGCCTTAGATAAGGTCAAGATCATTCAGGACAGGCTTCGTTCGGCTCAGTCGCAGTAAAAGAGTTATGCAGATCGTAAGGTTCGGGATGTAGCTTTCATGGTTGGTGAGCGGGTCTTGCTCCGAGTGTCGCCTATGAAGGGCGTGATGAGATTTGGGAAGAAGGGCAAGCTTAGCCCTAGGTTCATTGGTCCATTTGAGATTCTCGATCGTGTGGGAGAGGTTGCTTATAGACTTGCCTTGCCGCCTAGCTTGTCAGCCGTGCATCCAGTGTTTCATGTGTCCATGCTTCAGAGGTATCACGGCCATCCAGCTCATGTATTAGATTTCAGCACTGTCCAGTTGGACAAGGATCTGTCTTATGAGGAGGAGCCGGTAGCTATTCTAGACCGGCAGGTTCGACAGTTGAGGTCGAAGAGTTTTCCCTCAGTGCGTGTTCAATGGAGAGGTCAGCCTCATGAGGCATCGACCTGGGAGTCCGAGTCTGATATGCGGAGCCGTTATCCTCATCTATTTCCCGACTCAGGTACTTTTTTCTTTTGTCCGTTCGAGGATGAACGGTTGTTTTAGAGGTGGAGAATGTGACGGCCCAAAGGGTCATCACCTATTTTCTCTTTCATTCCGTACTTCTGAGGCCTTGAAAACCTCATTTTTACTTGCCTCAATTTGCGTGCGCAGTCCGGGCGCGTAGCTGGAAAGCTTATATGTTAAATTCTGTGAAAAATTTCAAAATGTGGCTTTAAAATGATTAAAGTTGACTTGGGTCAACATTTTGGGTAAACGGACCCGGACCCGTGATTGGACGGTCCCGGAGGGTCCGTAGAAAAATATGGGACTCGGGTGTATGGCCGGAATCGAAATCCGAGGTCCCGAGCCCGAGAAATGAATTTTTAAAAGAAATTATTTTTCTGAAATTAACATGGAAATTTGAAATGAAAATGGATTAGATACTGTTGGTATCGGGGGCGTATTTTGATTCCGTCGCCTGGTACAGGTCTTATATGTGGTTTTAGCGCTTCCGGTAAAATTTGGTCGAAATCGGACGTCGTTTGATGTGTTTCGAACCTAAATATCTAAAAATGAAAGTTTATGTAGTTTGACGAAAAAGTGTTGATTTTGAGGTTTGATTCCTCGTTTATGATGTTATTTTGGCGATTTGATCGCACGGTTAAGTTCGTAGGATGTGGTTGAGTAGTGTGTGTGATTGGTTAGGAGCCCCGAGGGCTCAGGAGTGTTTTCAGAGGTGTTCGGGGTGGTTTTGAACTTAGAAATGTTGCAGAAAATCTGCAACAGGTGCCCAGGTGAATCCTTCTTCGCGTTCGCACTCTCCCTCACGCGTTCGCGATGCTTCATTTTGTTCCTTCATCGCGTTCGCATCACTAGTCCGCGTTCGCATAGAGTTATGGAACTCTGAGGGCCCAGCCCTCTTTTCTTCTTTGCGTTCGCGGTGGCTGGACCGCGTTCGCGTAGGTCCCCAGCCCCTTCCCATCGCATTCGTGTACAGGCCAACGCGTTCGCGTAGGCCAATCTCTTGGACCCCAACCAATTCCTTCTACGCGTTCGCCCTTCACCTTCCGCGTTCGCGTTGACCAACCCTGTTTACCCTTCGCGAACGCGACTCACTTCACGCGAACGCGAAGGGCAAAGTTTTGCCCAGTTATATTAAATTTCAGAACAGTAGCTACGGGTTTCTTTCAAAAAATACACGAGCTCTCTTCTCCCCCAAGCACTTAGGAGTCCATTGAAGCCCCTTTTCTTCAACATCGCTTGGGTTAGTAAATTCCAACTTGTTTTCTTCATTTTCCATCATTTATTATTGAATTCCTAAGCTTAAATCATGTAGTTTAGGGTGGAAATTGGGGGAAATGGGTAGAGTTAGGGATTTTTACTTTTTCCTAATTTAGACCTCGTTTTGGGGTCGGATTTGAAAACAAATTATATATTCGGGCTCGTGGATGAATGGGGGGTTTAATTTTGGTCCGAACCTCGTGTTTTGGCCAAGCGGGCCCGGGGGTGATTTTGGAATTTTTGGGAAGAAAGCTTAGAAATTCATATTTAGGCATTGGGTTTAGTTTGTTTAGCTATTATTAATAATATGAAGTCCTTATTGTATAGATTTGATTGAGTTGGAGCCAAATTCGAAAGGGAAAGCGGTCATTGTGGATTGATTTGGCCGTGGAAGTTGAGGTATGTGTTTGGTTTAACCCTAGCTTAAGGGAATAGGAGTTGAGGCTTGTTTGCTATTTGCTAATTGATCGAGTACGATGTATAGGCATGGTGACGAGTACCTATACATTGGTGTCTAGCATGACCGTGAGTCTGATATTGTGACTTTAATGGCTTCGTTGTATTATCCACGCTTTGGTGTGTATTTCTGTTTGTTGTGTAAAATTGTGGAAAAAAATGCGATTTATGAACATTGAGGAGCGTCGGCTCCAGTTGTAGAACGAATTGCGAAAGTATAAGTGATAATTGAACCTCTGGAGCATTTGCTCGAAGTTGTGAAGAGAATTGTGAAGTAAAAGCGAGAAAGAGAAGAGATTATTATGTTGCCCTCTTGGCGGGCTATTGTTGAGTGGTGATTCCTTTGCATTGTGTCCTTAACTGATACTAGGGTCGCTTAGGTTAATGCTTCCTTGTGTTGTGTGATGACTATAGTTATAGATGAGGTGGTTAAGTGTGGTAATAGGTTAGATATAGCTGAGGTGGTTAAGTGTTGTAATAGGTTGGTTATAGCTGTGGTAGTTAGATGTTGGAACAAGTTTGGTTATAGTTGTGGTAGTTAGATGTTGGAACTAGTGTGGTTATAGTAATTCCCTTGCCGGGATTTCTATTACTGTTGTCTATCCCCCGCCCCCATTGTTTGTGATTGTTGATTGGGTTAGGTTGTGTTATTTATATTTGTGGATCGGTTTGCACGCCGCAACAACACTATATATTTGTGGATCGGGTTGCACGCCGCAACAACACTATATATTTGTGGATCGGGTTGCACGCCGCAAAAATACTATATATTTGTGGATCGGGTTGCACGCCGCAACAACACTATATATTTGTGGATCGGGTCGCACGCCGCAACAACACTATATATTTGTGGATCGGGTTGCACGCCGCAACAACACTATATAATTGTGGATCGGGTGGAACGCCGCAACAACACTGTATACTTATGATTCGGGTTGCAGACGCAACAGTGATGATTGAGAATCGGGTTGCACGCCGCAACAGCATTGTATGTGATCGAATTGGGTTGCGTGCCGCAACAAATTATAGCTTAAGTGTGTTTATTCCGGATTAAGTTTCTGTTGGCTGTTCTATCCTTCAATTTAGACTTCTTGTTTTAATGGTTGCCTCCCCATAGTATGTCCCCCCCCCCCCCCCTTTTATACACTGCTTACTTCTTGTTTACTTTCCGCTATTATTTTGTTGTACTTGTATATATATCTGCACGGGTTTATCTGGTAGTCTGGTCTAGCCTTGTCACTACTTTTCCGGGGTTAGGCTAGGCACTTACCAGCACATGGGGTCAGTTGTGCTGATGCTACACTCTGTGCATCTTTCTGCACAGATCACAGTACCGGAGCAGCAGCTTTCGGACAACAGTAGTTGATTGGGAGCTGACTTCATTCCAGAGATTTCGAGGTAGCCTTGCAGACGTCCGCATGGCCCGGAGTCTCTTCTATCTTTACATTAATTTGTTATCCTTTGTACCGGATCAAACAGTATTGTGTTTTATTCAGACTTTGGGTGTAGTATTCTATAGACGTTCGTGAGGTTGTGACTCCAGTTCTTGGGTAGAGGATTCTGTTAGACTTCCGTATCTCCTTCAGTTTATTATATATGTTGAGACTTCCGCTTTATGTCATTATGTTTGATTTTATTAAATGGTTGGTAATTGTTGCAAAAAGGTAGATTAAATTGGCTTGCCTAGCTCCCATTAGTAGGCGCCATCACGACTCCCGAGGGTGGAAAATCCGGGTCGTGACATTTATAAACCCGTGATACACTTCGTGAGTCATGACACACATAAACAACAAAGGGACGAATATCTCGAGGAATTCTTAGAAGGCAAGGGAACAAGAATTTGCTTTGGAAACTCAAATTCTTGCCTTTATATAAGTTAACTTCTGCCTATCATCACCCACCAAACAGAAAAGGAAAAAAAAGGAAATTTAAAAAGTTAAGGATGGCAAAAGAAGATTTACGTCTATTAGATTTCTGGGTGAGTCCATTTTGCATGAGGGTAAAAATTGCATTTGCTGAGAAGGGTTTAGCTTATGATTCTCAAGAAGAAGATTTGTTAGGTGGCAAGAGTGAGTTGCTTCTGAAAACAAACCCTATTTACCAAAAAGTTCCTGTTTTATTGGACAGTGGCAAGCCAATAGTGGAGTCCTCAAATATTGTGTATTATATTGATGAGAAGTTTGCTACCCAAAATCCTTTGCTTCCTTCTTGTGCTTATGGACGATCCAGAGCAAGGTTTTGGGCTGACTTCATTGACAAAAAGGTTATATTTCTAGAGAGTTTTATGTTCCGTCAAAGATTTATATGCCGGTAGAATATATAGAGAATGTCTAATATTTTTTTTTTTTTAATATACTATTGGACTAAGGCGAGCTTGATTGGAGCGACACTAACCGTAGGAATTCATATGTCAACCTCAACTTGCTTGGAATTGAGGAGTCGTCACTGTTGTTTATAAACATGAATCTCAATTCATGAACATAGAGACGGATCATTCCGTATTTATTAGATACAAAACAAGGAGTTTGTTGGGCTAATTAGTAAGTAAAAGAGTTATATCTTATGAAATGCTTTTTGGTGCCAGTAATTTAGCTATTAGTATAGTCTATTGTATAGCTATACTATAGCATTGATAAAGAAGAATTTTCTAAATTATTTTGTGGCAGTAGGCCTTCAAACATCTGAAATATACCATGATTGAATATGACATAACGTTTCTCATAAAAATGATAACTCCTTTAGAAAAACAAACTTATTCAAGTAGAACTAAAACATACCAAAGTGAACAATATCGTAAAAAATAAACTGTGCAAATGGGGAATAATAATTTTTTGTTATATATAAACTGTTGAATCCTTGTAAATTAAAAAATATTTTGCTCAAGTGACAAAGGGGGTTCAAAATTGCTTTAACTCATAGGTTTAAATTCCAGCTGTGATATTCTAGTTTTTTTTTCCCTTTGTATAAATTTCTGGTTCCACCGCCTATATTATTTAATTATATATATTATTTTAAGTGTGAGATGTTAATCGGCTTTGTTATATATTATTTTTAAGTGAATACATCCATGAGGTGCAGATTTATGAAGCAGGAATGGCTATATGGAGGAGCAAAGGAGAAGAACTAGAGATTGCCAAGAATGATTTTATAGACATTGTGAAGAAACTTGAAGGAGCTTTAGGTGACAAAGATTATTTTGGAGGAGACAACTTTGGATATGTTGATGTCATAGCTATTAGCATGACATCTTGGTTCCATGCTTATGAAAAATTTGGAGGTTTTAAGGTTGAAAAAGAGTGTCCAAAATTTGATGCATGGACAAAGAGATGCCTTAAGAGGGAGAGTGTTGCTAGGGTTTTTCCTGACCCTGAAAAAGTTTATGAGTTTGTTGTCATGCTTAGGAAAATGCATGGCATTGAATAGCTTGGCAAGTCATCCTACTCGATCATATCGGTTATTTTCAGGACTCTTTTACGGCTATTAAAAGGGTCAATATTGATGACAGTAATCGATTTTAATAGTTATATAGTTCAAAAGAAAATCGACGCATAAATATTTGTGTCGATATAAACTATATATGTTGTTTGGTTTTTTTCTTGTTTCTATGTTATATATGTAATCCATGTGCTTTTCCTTATATGAAAAGAAAAATAAGTGAAATAATCAATGCTTTCCTTCTCTTTGTTTTTTTGTTTCTTTTGTGGTTTCTGGTCGTGTTTTACACCAGTTAATGAAAGAAAGGGATTAATAAGACCAGCCAGTCGTTAAGACTTTAATGTCTGTTTTAGCTTTTAACTTTTCCCATGGATTATATACAATCTACTAATTAAGTGTTTCGTGTATTACATTTCATTTCACATCATAGTACTTAAAAAATACAAATTTCGGCGACACAGTTATTTACATAATCAACTATTCTTAACTTACTTTGACAAAAACTATTTAAGAATTACTTTCTCTCTAGAATGAGAGCTTCTCTCAGCTAAGGCTGAAATGGCGAAGAAGCAACGGACTGGAGGGAGAGGGCAATTAGGAACGGTGAATCAACAGAGGACTTTTGGCATGAGAGCAATTCCACAAACTGAAGATGCAAAGAAAATTAGGAGCATTAATGTGATACAAGGAGTAATTCCGCTGGAATTGAAGCAGACACCTATGGCGAGACCATCAACGGAAACGCTAATGGCAACACCGACAATTACGCAAACGGATACTAGCAATCAAGCACAGTCTAGCGGGAAGAAATCATGGGCGGAACAGGTGGAAACAGAGGAGAAAACCATAGGTAAATCTCAAAACCTAGCTACAAATTTGAAATCCTGGAGTAAGATAGTAGGAAATACGCCAGTAGCTGAGGGATTTGACCTAGAAGGCGTAGTGAATTATAATGCTAATGTCAAAATTACGATGGAAGATGTAAAAGAGGAGATCGAATACTGGCAAACTGCGGTTGTATGTTTTGTGCTGGGATCAAATCCCCCTCTAACAGTGGTGGAGGGGTATTTCGATCGTATATGGAAAGATTTGGGGATTGATAAAGTAACACAAATAAAAAAAAGGAGTATTTATGGTCAAATTCCATAGTATAGAAGGGCGTACAAAGGCAATTGAAGGGGGAGTGCAGATATTTGATAGAAAACCAGTGGTAGTTAAGCCATGGAAACCAGGAATGGAGATAATGAATATAACAGTGGAGCAGGTGCCTATATGGATCAGATTAGTGGGTCTAGATCTAAAATACTAGGGGCAAGCAGCTCTAACAAAAATAGCTGGGCTGGTGGGGAAACCTGTGAAGGCTAATACCGCAACAACGAGGAAGGAGAAACTCATGTATGCAAGGGTAATGGTGGAAGTACCGTTGAACAAAACATATCCAGAATCAGTTATGCTTGAAAATGAATTGGGACAAATAATTGAAAAGGAAATAGAATATGAATGGAAGCCTATAATGTGTCAACAATGCAAGTTGTTTGGGCACACAGATCAATAGTGCAGGAGAGTGCAACAAAAGCCATAAGTAGAACAAGTAAAGAAAGAATGGAAGCCAGTGGAAAGGAATAAGCAGAAAGAAAAGCCAGTCATAGCAGGGGAAAAAATAGAACAACAGACAAAGGTTGTGCAAGGGAAAGCTTTACAGAAGCAGATTATCATGCCAGTGAGTAATTCCTTCTCAACATTGGAGGATCATGTAGAGGAGCAGACTGCAAGGGAGAATGCTAGTGATCAAATGTTAACAGGAAGGAGGAATAAAGCTAAAGGAATTACACAAGGAGAAGGTACTCAACAAGGAAAAGACAGCTCAATAACCAGCTATCAAAGGGGAGTACAAAGGAAAATAGAGATGGGTCCAGGAACGGGGAGGGGAGGTACAAACTCCCTCCCAAATGGATAAATTGGGATTTTAGAATGTGAGGCGTCTAAACAGGCAGGATAAACAGAAAGAAATGAATCTGTTCTTGCATAATGCTAAGGTAGGCCTGTTTGGACTCCTGGAGACAAAGATTAAGAGGCAAAAAGCATCTTTAGCTTCTCTTAATCTTTGTAATGGGTGGTCTTTTAGTCACAACTTAGCTTATCATCCGGGTGGGAGAATCTGGGTGCTTTGAAAGCCAAATATATTCAATGTAAATATCACTGATTTATCAGCTCAAATGATGCATTGTGAGGTAGAACACAGAGGGACTCATCACAAGTTTCAGATAACATTTGTATATGGATTTAATGACCAAGCTTTAAGAAGACAATTATGGAAAGAACTGGAGCAAATTCATGATGTCACTAATCAACCATGGGCAGTTATGGGTGACTTCAACTGTGTATTGAATAGAGATGAAAGGTGGGGATTCCAATCATAGTATCAGAAATTAAAGACTTTAAAGAGTGTGTAGGAAGATGTTCACTACAGGAGCTTAAATCATCTGGATCCTTTTTTACCTGGAATAACAAACATGGAGACACTAGTAGAGTCTATAGCAGAATTGATAGAGTGCTAGTTAATGGAGATTGGCTGATGAAATTACCAGGATCAGAAGTTCACTTTGGAAATGAAGGTCTTATGGACCACTGTCCAGCATTGATTAATTGGGATAAGGGGCCTCAAAATAGCCAGTACAGATTCAGATACTTTAACATATGGAGTCAAGCTACTGATTTCTATCAACAAGTGGAAAGTAACTGGAAAAAGGGGATTACAGGTACAAAGCAGTACAGACTAGTAGGGAAGCTGAATAGACTCAAAGCTACTCTGCAAGGAATAAATAGAGCTCAGTTTGGTGATGTAGAAGGTAAAGCTGTGCAAGCAAAAACAAAACTGGAGAAATGTCAAAGTAAGCTACAGAAAGACCCTTTAAACATAAGGTTGATTGAAGAAGAGGCAAAACTAGCTAAACAGTTCTCACACTGGAACCTGACAAGGAACCAGTACCTTAAGCAGAAGTGTAAAATTCATTGGTTGAATTCAGGGGATATGAATACTAAATTCTTTCTTAGTATGCTGAAAGCTAGAAGAAATGCTAACCGAATATTCACTATAAAAGACACTGAAGGGAGGACAAGTAATGATATAGATGGTATTACTGAAGCTTTTGTGAAATATTACTCTGCATTGCTTGGTACTAAGAATAAGAATAGAAGAAGGGTATGTAGTGCCACTGTTAAACAAGGCCCTGTAGTCTCAGAGGAACAAAGAGGCATGTTGATTGAGGAGTTTACAAAGGCAGAAATGAAGCAAGCTTTGTGGGATATAGCAGGAGATAAAGCACCTGGGCCAGATGGTTATGGAAGCCAGTTTTTTAAGGACTGTTGGGAAATAATTACTGAGGATCTTGAAGCAGGAGTGATGGAGTTCTTCAAGTCAGGGAAATTATTGAGGGCATGGAATAGCACAGTGTTGACTCTAGTCCCAAAATCTGATCATGCAGACATAGTAACAGACTATAGACCTATAGCTTGTTGCAATACCATCTATAAGGTGATATCCAAGATGTTAACAAATAGATTGAAGAAAGTCCTGCCAGATATCATATCCCCAAATCAAAGTGCTTTTATGGCCGGTAGAACCATTGTTCAAAATATCCTAATCTGTCAAGACCTGGTAAGACTGTATAACAGGAAACAAACCACCAGTAACTGCCTGATCAAAATAGATTTGAGGAAAGCCTATGACACAGTAGAATGGGAGTTTGTAGCTGAGATGATGCATGCACTGGAATTTCCTCAACAATTCATCAAATGGACTATGACATGCATAACCACAGTGCAGTATGCAATTGCAATCAATGGGAGTCTATATGGGAACATAAAAGGGGAAAGAGGACTTAGACAAGGGGATCCAATATCCCCACTGATCTTTGTCATATGCATGGAATATTTCACGAGGATAATGAATGTAGTTGCAGAGCAGGTGGGATTTGAATATCATTCTATGTGTAAAAGTTTGAAGTTGAATCATTTGTGCTTTGCAAATGATGTTTTATTATTCAGTAAAGGGACTTTTCAATCAGTGTTGCTGCTATTGAAAGGCTTAAAAACATTCTCAAAAAGCTCTGGCCTAACTACAAATGCAAACAAGTCAAATATATTCAGTGTCAATATGCCAATCCAGAGCCAGAAGGACCTGATGGAAATGTCAGGTTACCAGAAAGGAAGTCTACCATTCAGGTATCTTGGTGTGCCTATATCCGCTAAAAAGATATCTAAAATGGACTGTGAAATACTCATAGACAAGATAGAAGCTAGAATCAAAGGTTGGGGTACAAGACATCTATCTTATGCAAGAAGGGTGCAGCTAGTGAATTCAGTACTACTTCACATTCGTAGTTACTGGTCAACTATATTTTTGCTTCCAAAGCAAGTGTTGAAAGGGATAACTGGTATGTGTAGAAATTTCATATGGGATGGGAAAGCTGTCACACATAAGCCACCATTAGTGGCATGGGACTTAGAGTGTAGAACAAAGCATGAAGGAGGCTTGGGGGTAACAGACATAATAAAATGGAATGAAGCTGCAATTGCAAAATATGTATGGAATATTGCTCAAAAAGCTGACAATTTATGGGTGAAATGGATCAACAATGTCTACTTAAAGGAGAAGGATTGGTGGCAGTACAAATGCCCCAATGATGCTTGCTGGTAAAATATGCAGAATCAAAGAAATATTTGCTCCTAGATATAATCAGAATTTGTGGAGCAGTGCCAATGGACAATACACAATTAAGGAGGGATATACATGGAGAATGGGAGAAAAGGAAAACTGGGCATGGAGAAGATGGGTATGAAACAGTATGAACCTACCCAAGCATAGTTTTATTTGTTGGCTCACTATGCATCAAAGACTGCTGACAAAAACTAGATTGTATCGTATGGGCATTAGTCAAGAAGATAGGTGTCCAATATGTGGAACAGAAGAGGAGACTATCCAACATCTGTTCTTTGAATGTGTATTCTTAC